GGGTTTCACCATGTTGACCAGGATGGTCTCGATCTCTTGACCTCGTGATCCACCCACCTCGGCCTCCCAAAGTGCTGGGATTACAGGCTTGAGCCACCGCGCCCGGCCTTAAACATCTTTTCTTATAAATTACCCAGCTTCAGGTATTTCTTTTACCAATGCAAGATTTGAATTCAATATGATAATGATTATTAGCTTCTGCTAAGTGTGGACGCATTTTGTGTCGGAATGTCTGTGGAATGATCTGTTCATTTGAATTTGTAGCCTCTGGGAACATGCTCAGTTCCAGACTCTGAAATAATATGTCTCCTAACACTTGGGTTACGAGTGCAGAAATCTGACTCTTGCTCACTTGAGAAGGGGATCTTCTCGTCATTTGGACTTAGGGAGTCATTTCCCAGCGTCCCTCGCGGTGGCGCCTAGCCTTTTCTCCAGAATGCGGTCAGAGGCCCCGCCCCGCGGGCTGTGGATCCGGAGGAACTACATTTCCCAGAATGGCCTGCGTTGGCGGCGTTTCCGTGTACGGAGCCTAACTGCTGAGGCGGGACTTTCAGCGTCCTGTTTGAGGCAGGCAGATTGGCCTCCCTCCGGTTCATTCACTCTATCTGCAATTCCTGAGCGCTGCAGCGGAACCCTAGAGACCGGACCGAGAAGGATCATTGTCTCCGCTGCACAGTGGCAGGCTGAGGCTCGGCGCCACCCTTAGTGACCGCCAACCCCGCATCTCCCTTGTGCCCAGCGACCGTTCGCGGCGGCCGCGATAAGGGCCCAGGCTCAGGTGAGTACTGCAGCCTCTGGGCCTCCCCCGCCCTCCCACCCAAGTCCAAAAGCCCCGAGTGAGAGACGCCTGCTCGCGTCCCCGCAGTCCAGGCCCCAGAGTTGGGATCAGCGAGGCGATCGATGGTGCTGGGGCCCCTGTTTTGCACATCTGGTGTGGTGGGGAGGGGCAGAGCATGAGAAGCACAGGGACCTGCACGTGCAAAGGCTTGGAGGCACGATTGAGCTGGGAGGATTGGGGAACCTGGGCTCCTCTTTGTTCTATGAGGACCTGTATGAGACAAAGTTAAGCCTGGAATAGCAGAGTAATGGCTGTGCCTTTGATGTGAGGATTCTAGAGGCCATGGAGACTTTTGAGCAAAAGGGAGGCACAGTCTATGTTAGGATTTTAAGTTTTCCAAGGGCTATTGAGGACTAGGAGGAGTGATGAGGGCACTGAAGCACTGAGAGTTTCAATCTTTGTTCAAGGTCACACAGCTGGTAAGAAGAGACACTGAGCACTGAGGCACGGTAGGTAGGCATTTAGCTGGAGGTCACCTGGTTCCAGGGCGCGGCAAAGAGACAGGTAGGCATGAGTTCATTGAACCCCACTGTGAACACATTCTTATAAGGCCTGCCTCTTCGCACAGGTTCCTGTGGCTACAGAAGCACTTATGGAACCAATACAGGTAAGTGGAAGATGTCCCATACCCTCACTGGCCTCAGCCCCCACCACATGTTCTGAAGAACTCTTAAGTGCTATTCCCCAGGTCTTTGGGTCTGAGGACCCTGAAGAAACCCCAAGCCAGAGTCCTAAGCCCATGTCAGATTTTCATATAGAAGTATTCACATTTTTTTCCCCAACCAATGTGAACAGGTGTGGAGAATTATGTACCAGGAACTAGTACCAAGATGTGCAAATGCTTAGAAGTGAAACTGCAGTGGAGTCAGGATAGCATGCTTGCTTGAAAATTAAAGTTGCTATTCTGGAGGTTTGGGTCAGGAGAGGGAGGTGGTCTTAACACGATCTTGTTTTTTGTTTCTGAGACGGAGTCTCGATCTTGTTGCCCATGCTGGAATGCAATGGCATGATCTTGGCTCATCACAACCTCCGCCTCCCAGGTTCAAGCAGTTCTGCCTCAGCCTCCTAAGTAGCTGGGATTACAGGCATGCACCACCATGCCTGGCTAATTTTTGTGTTTTCAATAAAGATGGGGTTTCACCATATTGGTCAGGCTGGTCTCAAACTCCTGACCTCATGATCTGCCCACCTTGGCTTCCCAAAGTGTTGGGATTACAGGTGTGAGCCACCGCGCCTGGCCCCCTCAGCTTCTATATCTGTGTGTCCACTTGCCTTTGACCCCTGACTACTGAACCCAGTGATCAGTGGGCCTGTGATGAGACAATGCTACAAGGACCTATTTTCTCTTCTGAGTTGGGGAGTTTGGGAGGAGCATGTCTATGGGTTAGATGTGTAGGGGAATAGATTATAGTTCCTCAGGAGAAGGGGCTGTTTGTGGTTTCATGTGTCGCCATCCTAGCAGGGCACTGTGACCTTTGAGGACGTGGCTGTGTACTTCTCCAGGGAAGAATGGGGTCTCCTTGATGAGGCTCAAAAACACCTGTACCACAATGTGATGCTGGAGAACTTGGCACTTATAACCTCCCTGGGTAAGGTCCTCACACCCTCCCTATACCCTGTGATAGTCTCTGTCTGTCACCTTTTCCCCTGGGTCAGGTCTGTCCTCAAATCAGGACCTTGGGCACAGATTTTTTCCCTAGTCCCTGGGTAGGTGTGGTGGTTGGTAGGGCTGCAGTGTGTGCACTGCCCTCTTCCTGAGCAGCTCCAACATCTGCTACCCCTGAGCCTGGAAGGGAACAACCCAGGGTCAGTCACCCTAATGGGTCCTACCTTGCTTGCCTTCTCCCTGTCCAGATGACTTTCCCACATCTGTGGCACTGTCTTCTAGGTATTACTTCCCACATTCAGCTAACATTTCTTCACTTTCTTGTGCCAGAAAGTCTTAGACCATCTCTTGGATGCCAGACCATCTCTTAGATGGTTTATTTAGGTAGACCAAGGGCTGTCCTTCCAAGACCCTCCAAAGCTCTTTGTGTAATATTTAACTTGTTGGCTCTCATGTGATGAGTTGTGCTGGCCCATTGCTGGCAGTGCATCTGTCCAGTTTTTCCCTTAGTACTTGCATCATCCATGTGTGCTGTAGTTGCTTATCAAGGGGTGGTATAGCAAGTACTTGGTGGTTCATAGGATTCATATGAATCAGCTATAGCTAGAAGAGCTCAAACGGAGTTTGCCTCTGAGAAATGGTGCCTGAGTGGGGAATAACATCAGAACTGGGTTCAAATTATAACAGAAATTTACTCTATTTGGCGGGTCTTTTGGTGCCAGTAGCAGTGCTTCCCACACCTCATAACTGCCTTTTCTTTCCTGTTCTTAAGTGCCACCTTGTCCATTCTCCTGCTTGTCACTTTTCTTTTTCGTTTTTTTCTTTTTTTGAGACAGAGTTTCACTCTTGTTACCCAGGCTGGAGTGCAGTGGCACGATCTGGGCTCACTGCAACCTCCGCCTCCCAGGCTCAAGCAATTCTCCTGCCTCAGCCTCCCGAGTAACTGGGACTACAGGCATGCGCCACCATGCCCAGCTAATTTTTATATTTTCAATAGAGACGGGGTTTCACCATGTTGACCAGGATGGTCTCGATCTCTTGACCTTGTAAGCCACCGCACCTGGCCGCTTGTCACTTTTCTAACCTCCAGCTCTGAGCTAGTCCCCACATCTCTGGACTCTGCCTCTCACCCATTTTTCTCACTGCTCCATGTGCAGTTCTCTCCACCATTGGCATCTACACATTGTATTATGAGGTGTGCACATATTTCTAAACAGGCCTTGAACACCAGGACTACTCTGTTGAAGGTAGTCCTTGGGCTGGGATTCACCCTTCTACACAGCATTTTCTTGGGCTGGGATTCACCCTTGTACACAGCACTCCGGTGTCACCAGCAGATGAGGGTCAGCTGAAAGTTGCTTGCAGGGGAATGAGTTTTGGACCTTGCCTGTCCTTCCTGTGTTATTCCCCATATTTGGATCTTTTACTTCATGAGGCCTGCCCCATTCTGTGACTTTTATTATTATTTTTTTTTTGGGACGGAGTTTTGCTCTCGTTACCCAGGCTGGAGTGCAATGGCGCGATCTCGGCTGACCGCAACCTCCGCCTCCTGGGTTCAGGCAATTCTCCTGCCTCAGCCTCCTGCGTAGCTGGGATTACAGGCATG